TAGCAATAATAAAAACGCAATATTAAAACATGAAACAACGGGCGCAAAAAATAAACCAAATGCATAACCCGAAAAGAAGGAGAACAAATGAATCATGAATGAAGATTTGATATGTTACATAGGCGAAGTATACGTGCATATCATAGCGCGGGAAAATAAGGAAAGATATTGGAGGATATGAGAGCAAAGGAGATCATGCAATACAATAATAGGAGGCAAGCATGGGAACGGAAATGGGAGTACACAAAAATGATTGAATTAAACAATTGATGTCTCGAAGTTTCTCGGAATTGCCGTTAGTTTATAGCTGAATCCTGTAAACCAGATTTTTTGGTATTCCTGAATTCTGTGCCATGTAACCTATTCTGAATCACTTATGATAGTCAGCATCTAACTGTTTACTTATCGCTACAGTTACATCGTATTTTTCCTGAAAAAGCATTGATATGAAAGGTATTTTATACCTATCTTAAGATGAGTATGTAGAAAAGACCACATCTGAAAAGGCAATTTATCGTTTCTAAGAAACGTTTTTTTTTTTACAGTCCTTTCCTATATATATAAAGTGAGCATTTCATACAGTTCATTAGTGATTCCGACTCATTAAAATCCAATTCATTAGTTGATGTCTACCTATGATATACTTCACTTCGCTTGTAACTTTTGCAGTAACTGCATATTTCCGTTGACTTTTGCGTAATTCACAAATTTATCTGTTCCACGTTTTATTGTTGAAGTCCAAGAGCGGCTGCATCTCGGTTACTATCTGCGAAGTTAGTATGATTGCTTTGTTGCCCTCAAATTTATAATTGAAGTTTGTCTTCAGATCTCTAAAGTTTGCCTGCTTATTCTAACTTCATTAATCGAAACATATCTTGTTGCCCCTTCTCTTCACGGTCTCTGTCATCACACTTGAGGTCTTAGCAAGTTGTTAAAAGTTCTAATGTACTACTATTTTCTGTAAAAAGTCTCAAAGTTCTAAATTCCATCCCTATCTTACTTGACAGTGGGGAACAGAACTATTTCACGCACTTGAATGGTTTTACTGCCAGCTGATCAATTTTTATCCAAAATATTTGCATGACTGAAATGCAAAAAAAAAATGAATTATTACTAATAGTTTCGGAAGGCATTATCTGGTGAAGTCAAAAAATTTCCAAGATATACTTGTCTTCAAATACATATACGTTGAAATTTCCTTTCTCCTTCGGACCTTCTTGTTCTCATTAATATTTTCATTACTCTTCACTCACGCTTACAATGGCGTCCTCATCGATTTCGGACAGGGTGGTAATTTTTGCAAGGCTTCTCAAGATTTCACCAGTAGAATGCAAAAACTGCAAAACTGTTGGGCAATTATATCGTCACGATATCTGCAATATTTAAGATTCAGAATATATTTATGGTGGGTTTTCCTTAAACTTAGCGCTTTCATTTTCGTAGTTTTGGATTCATCTTTGAAGGATTTCATTTTTTGTTTTCACTGCACTATACCAGTTATTCGATAACTATTCAGTAGGTTCCCACAGGATTTCGGTTCAGGTCAACAACACACAATTAGGATAATAAAGATAATCACAGCAACCAGTTTTACACAACAGTTCAGTGAAGTAATTCAGTCTGTAGTTCTGTTCCACTATTTATCATTACGCTACAAAAAAATTATATACCCTTGATGGACTGTCAAACAATTTCAAAAACGACGCATAATTTCAAAATTCGTCGTTCTTCTGTTCAGGATTCTTCGCAATATTTTGAAGGTTACAGCTATGGAGGAAGCTGTTTGATTTGATTTCGTTTGGACTTTTGCCTTGCCTCAACATTATTTAGCATTGATTCCCCTTACGTATCATTTCCATGCTAATTCAAAACATTGGAAAGAACTTTCTGTAAGTTATTTATCGTTAACAGTTACTGTTAACAGTGTTTAATTCGGAATTTGATATTTGGACAATATTATGCACTTCAAAATTGAAAAACTACGATTTTGGGAGATTGTGGTAACTGGGAATGAAAGTACAGGAAATATTTCATGAAGGGCATATAATATTTGTGGAGCAAAGAGCCATAACTGGTGTTTCATTTCGCGAAGTTCTAACTCCACAATATTGCTTTCTGTGTTCCATGTGTAAAGTCCATATTTCTGCTCAGATTACAACATATTTTAAACAAAGAAAACTGTTTCTCTGTTTCCTCCGTAACCTGCTTCAAAGTAGAAATAAAAAAGTAGAATACATCCGTATGATGAAGGATCCAAATTAAAAGAGTTCATTTGACGACAGTTCATAAGCGCTGTTTCTCAGAATTATTAGAGATCGAAAATCTCCCTGCGAGAAGCGAGCTAACAATGCTAACTTAATGATACAGTTTTGGAGAACTAATGAAAGTCACAAGTAACGATCTCCAAAGAGTCATTTTTACAATAGATGGAATTATGTTAAGACCTGACAAAGGCGAACTTATAAGTGATGAGTTCCTGACAAGCCGTTTATGAATGCATGAACTACACTCGACAATGGTTATAATGAAAAAACTGTCGCCAGTAGCATGCAGTGCATTATCTATTGGCAGCTTATTTCGACCCATTTTTTACTTTTAGAGTTCTATAACATAATTATTTTCCCTTTCAAGATTTGTGCCGCTTTGTTGTAACACTTGAACAAATAGCACAATACGCTTGCATTGCAGAGAGGTTGCTACATCCAGAAATATTTGTGCCGCTGACAAAATAACCTGTTAATCGGCACTTGCATTGCATCTATTCTCACAGAACTTTCAACTTTACAATCAAAATTACAACAAAATATAACAAATACTGGATCATTCCTAAACGTCAGAAAAAGCAGTTGGTGATCTGTAGAGCCTTCTGACCTTCAGAATGCTGGAATGTTTGGTATCAAAATCATTTCTACCCAGAATCATCTTTCTTTTTTGCAGCATTTGACAGCGTTAACATTTCTTCATTGGCTGGATGGAAACGATCTTCAATTTCTTCAATTGTTTCTGGTAATGGTTTGCCCATTGTTTCAGGTATACAAAATATTACAATTAAACCTGCTACCAGTGAAAGACTACCAAACGGAATGATCATTGCCCATGTTCCAAACTGTTCCACCTGTAAAAAGAAAAAAAT